ACCAGAGCTTTAACAAAATGTAGAAAGGCAATAGGATGGCAAACAGTTTTTAATAAGGAAGTATTGTCCCACTAAAGTCACCTTTCTATGATTCTCTTTCTTTATTGGTGAAATGGAAATAATACTTTAAAAATATATCTGAAGAATCTGTAATAAAAATAATTGGTTGTATATTTAATTATCTTTTTTTAAAATGTGTGATTTTATTGCTGTTGAGAACTGTTCCACTAGGGGCAGCTAGGTGGTACAGTGAATAGAGCACCCGACCTGGAGTCAGGAAGACATGAGTTCAAATTTGGTCTCAGACACATACTAGCAGTGTGACCCTGGCCAAGTCACTTTAACCCTGTTTGCCTCAGTTTCCCCATCTGTAGAATGAGCTGGAGAAAGTAATAGTAAATCCCTCCAGTATCTTTGCCAAGAAAACCCCAGATAGAGTCACAGAGTCAGACATGACTAAAACAAGTGAACAACAACACTGTTCCATTAATGCAATCCATGACTCCTAAGCCTTAAGTACACAATCTTCCTAAGCTTCTGTGGTCACAAATAGCCAACCTCCTACCCCATGGAGGACAACCACGTGGCACTTATCTTCTCTACATTTAGCTGAGCTGATCTTTGGGTAACAGATGTGCAGTCAATCCATCACTGGGTCTGTACATAAACCATTTCCAAATTCAGAGCACTTTATAGTGCTTTTGCTTTCTGGATCTTCTAATGTCATAAAGAAGCTTCAGAGTTAAACTTTAGAAGAGGACCTTGGGGAATATAATGATCACGTTATTTTTGAAAGACTGGGTATGAGAAAGAACATTAACTGAAAAAGGTCATCAATTTAGGCAAGAGTAGAACACTAGTAAGCTGATTAAATTTCTAGACTTGACTACATAGCTTCTGATTTACCAATGTAGAATCAATAAAAATAATTTGAATATAAAGAAAAAGAAATATTAGGTAGCTGAACCTCCAAAATCATATATAGTATACATATGTGTATAAGATATACATGTATAAACATGTATACATGTAATATAAACATATATGTATAATATATGTATATTTAAAGCATATATACATACACTTCATAATATGAGCAAACTATTCAGAGAAGAGGAGGTGCATCACAAAATATCTTCAGTTACTTTCTTTTTTTTTTTCCAGGACATTATAGCACAAAATGCACTTTATTAACCCCCTTTCTTTCCCTGTTTAGAAATAACAGACAAAAGAGGCAGCAAAGATAAGAGATGCTATTGGGCAGAAATTGAGGAACGCTGAATGGAAATATATCTTTTACCTTCTTTGTACATCAGTGAAACAAAAGAAGGGAGTACATTCGAGAGATAGTAATGGGACTTCTTGATTAATATGCCTATTGCCAGCATCCATTTGTCTGACTCATAGAGTATGATAAATTTGTTTTAATTGAGCTGACTGTTGATTATTCCCCTGTTAAGAAAATCTTAATTTGCAAGAGCTGTAGTAAAGCACTCTATGAATACAGGGAGATGGGAGGAAAATTCCTTTCTAATAGCGATAGCTTTTATTTTCCTGGCTGTAAAGCAGGTGAGCTTGTGGGTCCTCAGAGGGATGTTGGAGAGAAGTATGGTCATGAGTATTATTGTGAAGTAGGTTGAACCTATCATCTGTACTTGATAGAAATGAAAGGGGTAGGCACTATTTCAGTGTCTCTGACAGCTCTGCTTCCTTTATTGGATTAACAGAAAAGTAAGATGATTAGAGGATAATACTGTGCCATTATCTGTACTTACAAAGAGATTAGTGTAGGTTTCAAAGAAATTAATGGCTTTTGAATTAGCACAGAAATACTAATGAATGTCAGGGCTAGAGATGAAGAGCAAATAAAATTGGTTTTTCTTTGACTTTCATTTCTTTTGATTGTTTGCTATTTTAAGATCTAGATTCCTATTTTTCTCTTCCTTCACAACCTTTGGGAATTTTATTTGTCCTCTTTAGGGGATGGTTAAATTTATTTATATTTGTATGCAATTTTACTAAGTTAAAATTTAGGAAACTCCTCAGAAAACAAAATACCAAGCAGAGAATAGTTCCAACCTGGTATGTGCAATGATAAAGCATAAGAAAAGTTACCCAAATGACAATCAAGTTTTGTTAAGACAGTAAAGTACTGCATTTTATTATTATAAATTTGTAACTTGGACAGATAGAGTAGAGATACTGTAGGAGCATCAAGATGGTTCAGGCAGCACATATGAAGACTGAGCATCTGGAGGCAATGTATAGAGAATGGAAGGAAGGATGGAAGGAGGAAGGAAGGAGAGTTGGCCTTTGAGGTTTAGAACACAGATACTTTCTGAGTGAGTTTGGTTTGTGGAGTATTTTGTCTTTGTTTTTTGGGGTTTTTTTGTTTTGTTTTGTTTTGTGTTGGTTTTTTTGGGTAGGCAGTGTGTTCAGTGACTTGCCCAGGGTCACACAGCTAGTAAGTGTTATGTGTCTGAGACCAGATTTGAACTCAGGTCCTCCTGAATCCAAGGCTGGTGCTCTATCCGCTGTGCCACCTAGCTGCCCCATCTGAGTGACTTTGGGCAAGTAAGTCATTAAACCTCTTAAGAGTTCCTGAAAACTCTCTGAATACTTAAGTTGCTGAAGAGTTGCTATTGTGCATTGGTAAATGGAATTTCTTAACAGGAGTTCCCTACACCAATAAACTCAGATGTTTGGACCAATAAGAAAAATGAGCGTCCCTCTTAAAGCTACTTTTTTTTTTAATCCCTGAACCTCCACAACTTTATAATCACAGCTATAACAACTGAAGGAAAGTTGGGGATACTAACCAACAGAACATCTGGTAGAGTGACATCAGAGCTTCAAGGTAATTTAGCCAGGTTGTCTTTTCTTTATTCAGAACACGGTACCCATTGAAATGTTGCCTGGAAAACATGGCCTTATAACTCCTTAACCTCACACTATTTGACCAATGAATTGTTAAAGCCTTATATCAAAGTTCTACAAAAGAAGCCTATTTCACCAAGATTTTTTTTTCAGAACAAATGTCTTTTCACCAAAGCATTATCATAAAGCATTCAGATAAGAGGGTTCAATTAATTAATTAATTTTTTAGTTTATGGTATAAAACAGGCATTTCCATAACATAATAAAAAAAGGTGATTGCACATGAAACTGTAACTCTATTATGTACAACTTGCTATTCCTTTTAAATATATACTAATATTATCATGTAAATTTTTCCCCTTTTTTTCTTCTCTCCTTTGCCCTAGAGATGGCTACCATTAGATACAAATAGGTATATATTATATAAAATTATTCTATACATACTTCTATTTATCATTTCTTCCTCTGGATAAAGATAGCATCTTTCTTCATATGTCCTTTATAGTTAATTTGGGTTTTTATGATAGTCAAAATTACTTATTCCCTCCAAGTCATTCTTACAATATTATTGCTGTTACTATATACAGTGTTCTCTTGGTTTTGCTCATTTCACTCTTCATCGTTTTGTGCAAGTCTTTCCATGTTTTTCTAAGATCACTGAGCTTATCATTTCTGATAGCATAGTAGTATTCTATCACAATCATAGATCACAGCTTTTTTGAGTTGGACTAAGACATTAATCTAAAATGTGAAAGTACTATAATTTTTTGTTTAGATTTTTTTTCTTCTTTTTGTACTTTGCTAATAGGATTTGTACTCAGTGAGACTGGAGTTCTTAAAATATGCTCTTTGTTTAAGCTTTTAAGAAATAAATTTTTATTTAAAGGTTTTTTGTTTATGTCACTTACATTTCATTGGTAGGTCCTCTTCCCAGAGACTTAACCCTTATAAAAAGAAAATTAAAAAGAGGAAAAAAGTCAGCAAATCAACACATTAAAAATATTTGATCTTGTATATGCCTGTAGTCCCCCTACCAGCTGTGACCTCGGCCTCAAAGCCACATGTGGCCTTCTAGGTCCTTGGGTGTAGCCTTTTGACTGAGTCCACATTTTACAGAAGAAATCCTTTTATTAAGGGGACTTGTTCTGTGAAGTTTACATTCAGTCAAGCCACACTTGAAGACATGAAGGGCCACATGTGGCCTCGAGGCTGCAGGTTCCCCACCCCTACAAGACTATAAATTTAATTGAAATTTTCATATTTTGACTCAACATTTATTTTAAATTTTTATTTGTTATATTTCTGTTTAGTTACTATTTAGTTAACTATATTATTATATTTCTGTTATTCTTTTACAATTCTCTGATGAGCTCTCATATCAAACATGAACATTTCTATATACGAAAAAGAGCTTTTGGAAGATTGTGTATGAAACTGGGAATCTCTGTTATACACAGATTGACTTTTTAAAAAGGTATATTAAAAATTCAGCACATTAGTTCCAGTGTTGCCCTTCTTTTTGTCTTCCATTGGACTTCTTTTCTTTTCTCTTCTATTCGTATTTTTAAAAGACTCACTGATGTTCTTTACTTTTTCTCTTTTTTTTTTTTTTGGCATCACTGTCACAAAGCCACTATGCTATAGGTAGTGCAGATATTTTGTAAGCAAAGGACCTTTGCCCCAGAGGGGTGAGTCATACTGTTCTCTAGGATTTCATCATTTATTTGAATATGTTTGTATTAAGATTTAGGGGGTAGCATCTTCCATTCCTGAAATTTAGAATATGGTCATCTCTGTAACTATGAGGTAGTGAGAATTCGCTAGATTTAGAATCAGCAGCCCTGGGTTGAACATCACTTACTAGTTGTGTGACTTTTGATTAATCACATCATCCCAATAAGTCTCAGTTTCCTGACATGTAAAAAGAAGGGGTTAGACTAGGTAATCTCTCAAGTTCCTTCTAATTTCTTTTTAAAACAAAACTTTCTCCACTTCACCTTTTATATCTCACCAAATATGAGCCACCAGCTTGGAATCCTGCCTGCCACTTTGTTTAATATGAGCTAAAGTGATGTACACTTGAGTTTTCAAAACTAATCAGTTTTTTATTCTTTTTCTTCCAGAACATAGACAAACATTCCCAAATATTCTGAAGAAGGGTTACCTTGAAATTAGGAAAGATCATGACAGTTACTGGCAAAGCTGTTATGCTGAACTTTCACCGTATAATCTGTACTTCTACTGTCTTGATAACAGTGGCAATCAGAACCTTTATGCTACTTACCAGCTTTCACGCTTCCAGAACATATCGGTCCTGGGCAACCTTGAGACCAGAACGGTGGATACAGTCCTGTCTGACAACACACAGCTACAACTGAAGGCAGACTCACCATGGGAAGCCTTGGACTGGGGACAGAAACTTTGGGAGGTGGTGCATGCTGCCATGCCAACTTACATGGGGCAACGCGATGAACTGGAAAACTCAGCAGTGCTAGGACATGATGACTTTCTACATACTCAGTGCTTACAGAAGTCCAGTGGGCTGCTCCAATCAACTGCTTTCATAGACTGCTCCAAACAGTACCAAAACATCCTCAAGTCTGGGACACTTTATAGACTCACTGTCCAAAATAACTGGAAGGCTTTTACTTTTGTACTGAGTAAAGCCTATCTCATGGCTTTTCAGCCCGGTCGCCTAGATGAGGATCCCCTGCTGAGCTACAATGTCGATGTATGCCTAGCTGTTCAGACTGACAGCCTGGATGACTGTGACTCCTGTTTTCAAGTCATCTTCCCACAAGATGTCCTCCGCCTACGGGCTGAGACTCAGCAAAGGGCACAAGAATGGATGGAGGCCCTGAAAACAGCTGCCAATGCAGCCAGGAGTTCAGGGCAAAACTTACAAGTCACCCTTAGAAACAAATCTAGGGATCAGATGGGTGGGCATGATCTCAGGAAGAGCAAACGCCGGTCTGTGACTACCAGTTTCCTGAGTATTCTCACAACCTTGTCCTTGGAAAGAGGTCTCACCGCTCAGAGTTTTAAGTGCGCAGGTAAGAAGCAAAGTGTATTTTATTCCATCCTAAAATATAGTTAAAGGAAATTCAGAATGTCATGAGAGTATTATAGAAATTCCCTCCAGAAACAAAGTGACTTCCCATTGATGAAAATACCTTTTCTCTGAGAAACCAAAAGCAGTTTAAAAACATTAACCCATCCTCATGCAAACAATGATTATAGACCAATTTATGGAGCCATATAATAATAGGATCATAGACCTAGTGTTGGAAGGGACCTTAAAGATTATCTAGTCCACCCCACTCCCCATTTTCCATATAAGGAAACTAAGGACCCCGGAAGGGAAGTGACTTGCTTAGATTTCACCAGATACTCAGGATCAAAGGTAATGTGATCAAAGCATAAGCAGAACTAGAACCCAGGCCTTCAGTCTCTGAGTAAGGGTCATTGCACATTTGGCAACTGAAGTTTGATCCCAGGTAAGAATTTTGTCTCCAAAGATAGACTCACAACTCTCTTAGGAAGGGCTGCTCTTAAGAAGAGATGTGAGAAGGTTCCCCCTCTGCTTTGCAGAAGTGGGGGACATCGCAGACTTTTTGAGTATGCTGGTTAGTTTTACTGAGATGATTTTTTTACCCTCTTTTTTATTCTTTGTTATGAAGGATTGGTCTTTGGAATGGGGTACTAGAAATATACAGATGGGAAATGTAGGTAATGTTTAAAAAAAAGATATCAATAGAAAGTACTGGTAATTCCTAGAGTCAGTAACTGTCTTCTGACAGTGATCTCATCTGATCCTATTAGGTGAGAATCTGGAAGGCTGGCTAAAATGAAAAGTCACTTATTTAGCAGGTTCATAACCCATCCAATGAACCAGTATCTCATTTTCAGGGGGAAGAATGGGACAGCTGATATCTTCTAGAGCAACTGTATTACTACCAGATGTAAAAAAAGGGGTATTAGTCAACTTATGATCTTTCAAAACTCTACTTCTTTCTTCCCCAAAACTAAATGTTGTTCTGAGAAAATCTTAATTCAAAGTAATTATCTAAAATTTATTATTTAAATAAAATATTTATCTGTAGAATAATTTAAGTAGGATCCGTTTTAAAAATCATCCTTCTTGAAATAAACCCCACTCACAATTTATGAACAATGAGGTTAAGAATAAAAAAAGACTTTTGTCTAATAGAGAAAATTTGCATTCCTGTCTTTTAGATTTGCGGGTTTCAGGGGGAGGAGAATTTTTTTTTCCAGAACAGAAAGACTTTTCTTTTTTTTTTTTTTAAAGGGACAAGAGAGAAGATCTAGGATTTAAGGATAAACAAGAAACATGTTCTTGGCTATGACTGAATTGTGGATTTCAGTCCTTGCTTTCCGAATTGAAAAATGAAACTTTTGAACTAATGAAGATATAGTAGAAAAACATGTATTTAGTGATATAATGGTGTTATATAATGTTATATAATAATGTTATATAATAATATATGTAATAATAATAATAATAATATAATAGTTATATAATGATGTCCCTTTTTGGGGAAGGACATCATTTGCTTAAAAGGATATTGATCATTGAATTAAATATAATTAGTCCCCTTTTCCCACAATATGACAATGATATTCAGCAGACGTCTATAGTACAGAATGATATAAACTAAAATCTGCTAAATAGGTATTGTGTCCATCACAGGAGTAGAAGTGGTAATGAGGAAAGCATCCAAGAGATATTGAGTGTTGTTGATTTGAAATTTAAGTTCACTCAAATCTCTCCTATATTCTATTAAGAATAAACTAGGAAAAGATGCAGTTTTGTAATTGGGGATGGGGGTGGGGGTAGGGTGGAGGGATAAGTGAATGCATAACAGTGATTTCTCTGAATTCTTTAAGTATGAAACATTCCAGAAGGGAAGGATTTTGCTTTACTTAAATCCTTCTTTTACTTTGGGAAGTGCTGCACTCAGAGTCCATGATATATGTCTAGCTTTTGTCTGTTACTTGTCATCCTCCTCCTCCAGTCCTTTGAATACTAATATCCTTTCTATCACAAGTAGGAATACTTTGTCTCCTGTAGGGGGCAGAATCTCAAAAGAAAAAAAGAATAACTTCTAAATGATGCAATGGAGTATTTTTCTTTTAAATGTTCTCTATTGATATTCTGTATATCAGAGGTCATAATGGCAAAATAATATTTTTAAATGGATTTATATTTCTCAAATATAGATACGCTTGACCTGATGATTCTTAATTTCTTAGCTACCTCTTTTAGCCTTATAACTACACTAAAACATATATATACAGGTTTAGGTGGGGAAGGAAGAATTTGATAGAAAAATGCTTAGCACTTGGAATATGTACTTTTAAACTGAACTCAACTTTTCATAATATGTTAAGTATCAACTAATAGTTTGTAATACTTCAATATTTAGAGGACATATTTTTTCATGTTGATAGATCTTCTTGCCCCTCCACCTTAAATATTGTGAGAATCATAAAACATAAAAAGGATTCAAAATTCCACTGGGTAACTCTTTCCTATGGTATCACTCATTTGCTATTCCCTAGGGGAGCCACAAATGCTGGCTTTTCAGTTCACGAAGTATTGCAAATGGTCTTGTTTTGCAAGATTCTTTCTGTATGGAAAAGAATTTCCTATGTTCCTTTTTAAATCTTATACATGCCTTCCAGAGACTGGGGGATGTGATCATTCTGAAAGTCCTGAGGCATGACTTTTGAAAACTTATTGTGCTTTATATTTACATGACTATAGATTTCTTATTTCATTTGCTTGTCTTTTTACTACTTCATTTGATTAGCTGTGTGTGCATTCTTAATTGTAAGTGTGCATAATATGTCTGTATTTGTACAGCTTATTAGGGTATTATTATACAATCTTCAGTTTAAAGGTTACCAAGTAAAATTTGATGATTAGCTGTACAAATTGCTGAGTGGTTATAAATTATTCTACAGGTGTGTGTACCCAGAGAGAACTAGATTTTTAAAACCAGTAAATTAAAGAGTTGTTATTTGAATTACAGAGGTTTCTTAATTTTACCAAGACATTTGACCTCTGATTTCCTATAAGTAATGAACTTTTTAGTGTGTTTAAAATGCCTTCAATTAGAACAAGCAGTGAGTATTTATTGATCAACATACTTCAAGAGATAAAGAAGTTGAAAATGTGGTTCCTGTTCTCTAGGAGATGGGAAGATAAAATGAATATGTAATGAAACAAATAGCACCCAGTATATGGCATTAGAGGAAAGGAAAATCAAATGCATGCTAGAATATCTCATATTGTTGGAGCTGAAAGGACATTTGAGAGTATTTTCTTGATCAGACTCCTAGAATTACCCAACTGGAAGGGACCTTTTTCACAAATAAGGAAATCAACCCCCTATCAGGTCTTCTGACCCAGTCTACTTGTTCTCCCTCCTCCACCAGGCTGGCTCCAGGGAGAGTTGAAAGAGTTAGGGAAGGACTCATGCAGGAGGCAGAACTCCAGCAGATTCAAAGGTTTGAAGGCTGTAGAAAATTAGAATGTTGAAGCTCAGAAAAGTCATAGGAATCATCTGCAGTAGTTCCACCCCCACATTTTATAGATGAGGAAACTGGTCAATCCAGCTAATAATGACTGGGCTAGGCCCAGAATTTTAGATAGAGGAAGCTATGTGAAGGACACATGGAGGCAGAAGTAAGGCAGGCTGTGTTCATGGGACAGTGGAGATACCTCAGTTACTGGAAGGGAGAGAAGCAGTGAAAAATGAAGTGGGAGAGACAGAGCCAGGCATGATTATAGAGGGCTTTGAAAGCCAGGAAAAAGAATTTACATTTGATATAGGACTAAATAGGGGGCCCATGAAGGTTTTTGAACAGAGAATGCACATATTATTCATTCCATAAGCACCACATGATAAAAGTGATATTGAAGGGGAATTAGCATTTCAGTGGCATCATTTTACACATGTCTAATTTTATGAACAGCTTTTCAGGAATAAATCTTTTACTTTCTCACAACTACAGTGTGAGACCATGAAATCTGTAATAAACCATGTAATATGTAATAAATTTGTAAAACCATATAATATGTTACTTTAAGTCATGGGTAGGAGGTAGGTATCATTGACATATTAATTGTTTGATAAGACACTGTCATCATGTCTTTTGTTGTTGTCATCGATAATGGTGTCTGGACTTAGGTCCTGGACTACCTTCAGCAAGGGATGCTCCCTCCAATTCAGCTGTAACTTTACAGTCTTTGAGAGTTACTTGGCTCTGAGAGTTTAAGGGACTTGCCCATGGCCAGCAACTAGTCTCTGTCAGAGAAGGAATTAAAGCCACATCTTCCAGGCTTCAGGGCTGGCCTTCTGTTCTTACCTTCTTCTGCCTCTTCATCAGCAGGGTAAAAACCATCAATTAAGCATCCTGTGCTAGTGCTTCTGAATTAATGCTCTGCCATATCCAAGGTGCTGGAGGTTGTGGGGAAGCAGACCCCTCTAGCATCTAGAGAGGTCTGGATATGTATGAATGTATCTATGCAGGGAATTTCAAAATGTGAAATGTGCATATAATTTAGTTGGCAATAGTATTATAAAACAGAGTTTTGCTGAGTTGTCTAAAAATCCAGAAGCATAACTATGAGAACCCTTTTGAAAAAGAATTCAGCTGTTATATAAACAAGTTGTGACAACACACACAAGAATGTTTTCAGATCTTCCCATGTGTAACTAATGTCATCTTGAACTGCGAGCAGTGCTGTTCCCCCATTTCAGAACTTAGGTTGAAAATAAAAATTCAGGCCAAGGAGAGTAGAGGATGAACAGTGAGCCTTGGGTATTCCCTGCCTCATTTTTCACACTAGGCGGTTTCTGCTGTTTAACCTCCCCGGCCACTGTGGGGCATTAGGAAGAGCTGGGGGGGGGGGTCTAGCCTTGGGGAGGGACAAGCTGTAGGGGGAGAAAAAAGTTTTGCTGTGAATTCTTCTGCCATTTAGTGCAAATTCCTGTAATTACCGTCATTGTGTCCCGTCTGAATG